TTATATTAAAATAATATATATATATATATATATATATAACAATTTACATACAAACATTAAAAATGTATGGAAACACATAATATGATACAAAATTATAAAATAATACAAATAAATGGACTAATAAAGTGTATGTTAACGGGCTAAATGTGTAACATTTAGGTATCAATCACTGACTAAGATATTCTGATGATCATTTGGTATCTCTTCTAGACAGGGATGGGCACCCATCTTCTCGTCATTCCCACAGACGACACTAATTATGGAATGCAGAATTCTTCTCCACAGGGAAAGTAAGATGACGTGGCCCCTCTTTTACTTTGCCAAGAGAAACCAAAACATCAGGGATCACCACCAACCAGGGTAGGTCGAGAGGACCCTCCAATGGTAAAGTCAAAATATTATTTGGCCATTAAAGATGATTCGTATTTAAAATAGGGTTCTTGCATTGCCTATTGTTTGTCCTCTTTACTTTACCTACTTCGCCTTTTATACTTTTCCTGACTTGAATTCCATCCATTGGATCAATGTTTGATCTGAGGGTTCTACCCGTACCTGGCTCTGGTCGGGTAAGTGGTCAAGTTGCTTTGCCTTTGATCGTTGGATCATTCTCTCATGGACGACTTAGATTATGTCAGATGCTAGTAGCCAACTTGCCAAGCGCTGTATTCGTCGGATCAAGTTGATCGGATGGACTTACCGTCTAGTAGGCCTAACCTATACTACTGCATTTGTTGTCTGATATTTCCATCGTTGGATGAAACTTAATCCGACACTCCTATTTTATTATGCAGATCCTTCTTCTAGAAGGATATTCACATGCTTGACTATCCCTCAAGCTCGTAGACACGCTCTAGCTTACGGTTAGTCACTTCTAATAGGCTCTTTAAAAAGTCATTTGGACCTCCCCTTTCTTTTGGGTCGATCAACTAATTGATTTGGGCTTAGGCCAATATTTTGGGGGTATTTAGGGTAATCTAAATAAGTATACTTTTTAAATTTTTATGAAAAGATGTGCACAAAAGTAGAGAGGTGATGTGACTTAAATAAGTACACTTATATAGGTTATGCCAAACATCCCCTACTCAGTGTACTTTGCACATACATTTAGCAAAGTGAGAAGACGTGGCACATCCCAAGCCATGAATTCTCAGTAAAAAAAAAAAATTTATGCACACCCCAAAAGTCAACAATATAGTCAGTATGCTGTGCATCTATAATATTTTATTACACAATTTTTATAAAAAGTCAAAAAATTATTCCAAATATACAATTTTTTTTTTACTATTTTAGTCAAAAAATACACTTATATAGCACATTCTAAACAACTTCTAAACACCAATATGAACTCAAACTAACTTAACAAAAGAATATCCCCAAAAAAAACTAATAATAATAACAGTAATGGTTGGTGGCCCGAAATTCAGTGGCTTGAATGGCTCGAAACTGTCAAAACGACGTCATTTTGGGCGCAAAACAAGCTGAGAGGGTAATTTTTGGTAAAAATTGGGCCGAGCTGTGAGATGGACTTTATGGCCCAAAGTACGAAGGACTGGGTAAAAAGGCCCAATAGAAATGTAAAAGTTACTCCGACCCAAGAGGGATAAAGTTACTTCGGTCTGGGCAAGTTGGAGCTAGGCCGGTGTCAGAGTTAGTCCGGTCATGATGTATCCTGAATAGGTCGGTCTGGCGGTACCTTTGAGTTAGACCGGTCTTGGAGTTATACCGGTCGCGATTTGTTAAGTTTGGTCCAACCGTGCCATGGGTTGAGCAGAAGAGAACCGAGATGAGGAGGAGTAAAAACAGAACCGAACTAAGCATAGTTCGGCCTACTCAGTGGCTCTGCATAGCCAATTTTATTTCGGTCATATCGTAGTTCGGCCATAGTAAAAACCATCCCACTTGGTTTAAGCAGTGGGGGTGCAAAAGGATAAACATTATCCTTTGGAGTATGAATTCTATGAGGACTCTGCGTGGAGGAGTATGAGTCCTATTAGGATTGTGTCACACGAAACCTATAAAAACTCACAAACATCAACCTTGGAAGAGGTAACACACAACTTTGCTTTTTACACAGAGCTTCTCGTCTATTTGTCAAGTTTACTGACTTAGGCATCGGAGAGGTTTCTGTTATTGCTTGTTTGAGTTCCCTGGTGTGCCCCCGATCCGCAACAAATATGAACTCAAACTAACTTAACAAAAGAATATCCAAAAAAAAAAAATTAATAATAATAAATAGGTTAAATATGTGTTTGAGAAAATTCTCAAACTAATCTATAACAACTCGACACGACGACACTTGGAACGTAATGGTTTCCCACTCCATAACGCAACTGAATCTTGTTGACATCGGATAGCGTGGACATTAATACCTATATCATGTCATCTTCCATGTCGGGTAATTGATGTAGTGCTAAACAACATGGCAAAGCATTTTGCATATATATAATGCTTACATTCCTTATTGGGAATAATTTTTCATCATATAATTAAAAAAAAAATAACATAATTTTAATTTTTTTAATCATAATTTTAAAAAAAAAATCATAACTAAACATAATATAATATATAAATAAAAAATTCATGAGTTATAACTAAAAAATAATAATTATAACTAAAAAAAATAATATAATTAAAAGTGCATATGATACATTATTTTCGACTAAAATAATATATTTTCAAACGAAATGTATACCGTTAGTGCATTAAGAAATGGAATCCCATTGATAAAAAATTTCGATTCGTGTCTTTTTTTGCTGGATGGCAAAAGTGTTTTTAAGTGAAAATTTGAGTTCTGTTTTAGATTTTTTTTATTTTTTTTTGGGTGGAGTTGAATTATAGGTGGAGGAAGAGACCCATGTGGTGGCTGTGTTACATTGATCGTGGGTTGTAATAATGGAGCAATGTCATGGACCGCATGATATGTGTTTGATGAAAGGGCAAACTACTAATAGGTCTAGCAGTTGGATTTAATTTTTATCAAATTTTATTAAAAATAAATTTTATTAAAATTGTTGTTAAAAATAATTTTTTATAATGATTTTTTGTATATATCGTTAAAAATTAATAATTAATGATTTTTTTGTTATAGTTTTTATAAATTATCGCTTCAACTTATAATTACTGGCTTTTTTGTAACGAATTTTTCAAATCGTCGTTGAAAGTTAAAAATTCGTGAATTTTTTGTGACGATTTTTTTAAACTATCCCTAAAATTGTTTGTGACAATTTTCAAATTTTTAACAATTAGTCATATTTTTTAATAGTGTTTGATAAAAATTCTATTAATTATTATAGGACCTAATGAATAATAAGTTTACCTATTAAAACCAACACATAAATCCATTGACAAATACCTTCTGGAGTTGTTTCTAGGCCACATGAATGCATTAAGCAATTACCATTTGGGTTTGTCTACACCGACCTAAGTCCGGCACTCACAAATTGAATTTTTTTAATTTTCTATATATGAATATGTGCGTATATTATGTATGCATAATCTTGGATTTCACTCTTAGGAGTGGAATGGGAGAATAAGATTTTCTTACAAGATTTATAGGTATATATGAGTTTCAACTCCTTTGATGTGTTAATCTAACAACTAACCACTGACTTTCGTTGATCAAAAAATAATAATAAAATAAAATAAGAGTGTCAATTTGATGACAATTTTCGGAGAGTCTTCAGAGGGTAAATTTGACATTTCAGAAGAAAAAAATAATTGGTGATGTCAACAGAAAATGTTAGTTAACAGAATGGCTAGGTAATGGAGGGAGTAAATTGTAACAAGATAACAAATCCCATGGAGAAAAATGTAATTTTTAGAACCTCAAGAGGTGTAGGTGTAATTTATGTATAAAAAAATTATATTTTATTTTATAAAATAAACAATATAAGTTTAAATTAACACTTGTCATCTATTTAAAAAAATAAAATATAATTTGTTTATTGATATTTAATAAATTTGATCAACTCATTTTTGTTACTGAACTAATGAGATGAATACTTTGAATTATTATTGTGTTTAAAACGAAACTTACCCAATATGGTAGACAAACATAGAATGATAATGGTATGGAGTGTCATTAGCTACCTAATACCTACCATATATGAGTGCGTTTGTTTTGAGGAATTATTCTCGGATTAATAGTTTATTGTTTGATTTAATTTTTTTTATTCCGGATTAATAGTCCCTCCGGACTATTAGTCCCTCATATGAGGGATTATTGTATCTTAGGAGAGGATGTGAGATTATTTTCATGAGATTAGTATCACATGGGACTAATGTGTGAAATGTCCGTTTTAATCTCATATTATTACTTAAGAAAAATTGAAAAAAGGGTAAAATAGTCTTTTGAACATTAAATTATTTTTTTAGTGTTGTTAATTCAAAATTATATATTAAAGAAAAAATATAAATTATAAATTATAAATTAAATTTAATTAAAAACAATAAATTAAAAATTATGACCTTATAAATAAAATTTTGTTAGTGTTGTTAAAAAATTAAATTTATATATTAAATAAAATTATTTTTTTAGTGTTATTAATTTAAAATTATATATTAAATAAAAAATATAAATTATAAATTTAATGTAATTGAAAATAATAAATTAAAAATTATGCCTTATAAATTAAAAAATTTTAGTGTTGTTAAATTAAAAATTTAAAATTATAGATTACAAATTTAAAATTACATATTAAATAAAAATTATAAATCACAAGGGTAAAATAGTCTTTTGAACATTTATACTTATCCAGTCCGTCCAACCAGACATTGGATTCACTAAAAATAATCCAATCCAGACATCTAATCTCATGACTAAACAAACATAGGATACAAATCTAGTCTAACCAAATAGTCAGAGACAATGTATCCCAAAACTAATAATCCGATGAATTACAATCCCCTTTATCCAGTCCGTCCAAACAATTACCTTCAAAGATTTCTTTAAAATAAAAACAATCCTCCTCGCATTAGATGTGATATAGTGGAGAGTCAATTTGTTCTGTTGCCACTCTTTTACAGAGAGAGTCCCTTTGATCATTCCCTATGTCTTCAATAGTGAGAGTTATGGAGGACTCCTCTGACGAAGCTGTGCCTGAATTTCCTCTGATTCCAAGTTCTGAAAGGATCAATGGGTTTAAAGGAACAGAAAACAAGGAAGCACTTGAGCTTGAGACGTCATCAAACGCCATTATTATTAATGCAGAAGAACTGAAGAAACAATTGCAGTTGGCAGGACCTTTAGTCATAGTTGGTTTTTTGCAGTACAGCATACAGATGATATCGGCTGTGTTCTTAGGACACCTCGGAGAGCTCCCTCTCTCCAGTGCAACTATGGCTACTTCATTTGCTGGAGTCACTGGTTACTATTTCATTGTAAGCTTCATTCTTATGTTGTATTTGGTTGGAAGATTTGGGGAAGGATTTGAAAAGGAAAAGGAAAAAAGTGTGTTAAATTATGTGAAATTTAGATATATTTTATTCTCATTTCACCTACCTTTTCCATTTTCCTTTCCAAATCCCTCTTCAAATCCCTCCACCAAACACAGCATTAATCTTTCATTCATTCCCATTTTTCTCATCTCATTTTGTGTTGAATTAAAATTTGCAATATTTTCACTTCTCACCGCTGCCACCACCATCACCACTGGTGACAGGTTACCATATTGCTGGACGCCACTTTTGACAACTCACTAAGCCTCCGTTTGGGAAGTGGGTTGGCTTTTTGGCTTTTTGGCTTTTTGGCTATTTTAGCCTGGGCTATTTTAGCCTAGTTTGGGAAGGGCTTTTTGGCTTTTTGGCTTTTTTGGCTTTTTTTATGAGAGAGGATTGTAATGATTATGGGTTGGATTTGATGTTTTGTTTTTTGTGGCTAAAATAGCCTATTTTGTTTTTTGTGGCTATTTTAGCCAAAAAAGCCTGGCTTTTTGCTTGCCAAACGGAGGCTTAAGGGATTGTTTGAGAAATACTAAATTAGTATACTTTTTTACTTTTTACGAAAAAACGTAAAATATGGATTAGATTTAAAATGATGTGATAGAAAGGTAATATGACTTAAATAAGATGATTGTGACCTAAATAGGATAATGTACTAAAACAGCATGTGTTATTTTAGCACATGTCAAACAACTACTAAATATATATAGGACTCGGCTTTCCACTAGTCCATTGGAAGGTATTGTTCGGCGTTGTGCGGTTCAACACACGTCATGTTTAAATTATTCGAATTGTTCATTTTGTCAGCCCCTTCGTATATATCATTTAAAAAATTAGATCAATTCAATAATCGTAACTTATTCAATTTATTATTTTTTTCTCCAAGAAATTAACAGCAAGTGTGTTTTTAAAAATGAGATAGTACAATGCAACGGGAGAGAAAAAAAATTACAAATATATATGGTATGCAAGTGAAAAACTATGGGGGGCAAGTGTCATTTGCACCCCCTCCATATTTTTATTAAAAAAATTTATTATACCACTAGGGTGTAGTTTCCCCTTTTAAAAATAGGCTATTATTTTTTTTTATTTTTTTATAACAAATGCGATAAATTAAATAATTTACAATTATTATATCAACTTAATATTTTTGTGTATAATATACACGAAGAGCCTGATAAAATAAACCGTTCGAATTATCACAATGGAGCCTATATGGATTAATAGTTTATTATTTGATTTAATTTTTTTTATTCGCCGTATTTATATATATATATATATATATATACTGGAAGGTGTTGAATCGGTAGTTACATATCTATAATATAATTGAATTTAAAAATTATAATTTCCTTTACAGTTACAGAATTGCATTTTCAAAAAATGAAAACTATGATATTTTGTATGAATATCAATTCATGTTTTTTCTTTATATAATAAAATAGATATTTATATGTAATATTTAAAAATATTATGTGTATATAGAATATATCTATTTTTTTCTTCTTTTAGTCTTTCAAGTTTAAATTTTGTCAATTTTCTTTCGATTGTCTCATTTAATTAGAAACAAAATTGACAAAATGAAAATTCACTCACATTGAGCACCTACTTTAGTGATCATATATATATATATATATTAGTGATTGGCACACGCGATATATGTGCAATTCAAATAAGTAAAAGGGAAATAAATTATTTAATATATGTTGTGTATTGGTCATGTAATAAGGGTCTTATTCATCAAACATTAAGTCTAAAGTTCAAGCCTGACTCTTTCTTTTTATCTAATTTTTTGTTTTAAATAGAAAAATATACGCGTGACAAAAAGAGAGAAGAAGTTTTAAGATACCAAGTGACTTATTCACTTTATATATAATATAGATAGGTAGATTTTCCTACTATGACAGTTATGTAGGCATACTATTTGTAATTGGATCATTTAAATTCATTTACATTTAGAGAACTAAAATTTTGAGACCAAATGGACTTGAAATACATATTTTAGAGAAATTAGGATCTTTTAGAGTAATTTTTTAAAATATTATTTTAAAATAAATTTTTGAATAACTGAAATTTAATTCTATAAATATTCATGATACAATAATCATTTTATATTTTAATTCCCAAACCCTAACTATAACCCTAACCCTATCACTCTAAATGAACACTCTATAGGATACTGGCTCACACTACAACAAAAACATATTTTAGTGGCACTACACTAGTGGTATATTTTTAGAAAATGTCACAAAAAATGATATTTAGTGGCATGTTTTTGAAAAATGCCACAAAATGACAAACATAAAAGGCTCTAGTGACATTTCAATGAACAAGTGTCACAAAACTACAACAAAAACTTACTTTAGTGGCACTACACTAGTGTCATATTTTTAGAAAATGCCACAAAAATGATATTTAGTGGCACGTTTTTGAAAAATGCCACAAAACGACAAACATAAGGCTCTAGTGACATTTTAATGAACAAGTGTCACAACATTATAACAAAAACATATTTTCGTGACACCATACTAGTGGCATGTTCTTAAAAAATGTTACAAAAAGAATATTTAGTGGCATTTTTTAGAAAAATATCATAGAACCGCAAACATACAAGGCTCTAGTGGCATTTCAATTAAAAAAAGTGTCACTTCACTACAACAAAAATGTCACTACAACAAATTTATGTTTTAGTGACACTACACTAGTAGCATGTTTTTAGAAAATGCTACAAAAATAAAAATTGGCATTAAATATTTTAGAAAAATGCCATAGAACCACAAAACATATAAGGCTCTAGTGGCATTTCAATAAAGAAATGTCACATCAATTTTATGATATTTTATAAAATAATGACACAAAAAATTATGTTCGTGACATTTACCAACAGATGCCACTAAACTTTAGTTGCAATGACATTTTTTAAAAAATGTCAGGACACTAGGTAGGTGCAAATTACTTTTTATGGCACTTAGGTGAAAAGTGTCATAAACAAATATTTTATGACATTTTGAGAAATGCCACTAAGCTAAAAAGCATATTCGGTGACTAAATTTCCTGACCAAAAAAATTTGGTCGCTGAAAGTATAGCTTTTAGCGACCAAAACAGCATTAGTTGCCAAAAGTAAAGATTTTAGGCGACTAAACAATTTTAGTAGCCAAAAGTCTATAATTGGCGACTAAAACTAAGTTTGGTCGCTGATTATATGGGTTTTAGTGATTAAAAAAATTTTAGTAGCCCAAAGTAAAGCTTTTTGGCGATTAAAAAAATTTAGTAGTCAAAAGTCTACAATTGGCGACTAAAAATAAGTTTGGTCGTTGATTATATAGGTTTTACCGACTAAAAAAATTTTAGTAGCAAAAAGTAAAGCTTTTTGGTGCCAAAAAAAATTTTAGTATCCAAAAGTCTACAATTGGCGACTTAAAAATAAGTTTAGTCGCCAAAAGTGGTCATTTTTAGCGCGGGAGAACTAAAATCCTAAGGCGGGAATAAAATTTTTTTGTGACCACAATTTTAGTAGCTGAAAGTGCATCTTCGGCGACCAAATCCAATTTTGGTCAACAAAAGTTAAGTTTTTTAGCAACTAAAAAATAATTAGTAGCTAAAAGTATAGAACCAAAAGTGGTCTTTTTTTTTATTTTGGTAGTAAATAGTTTATTTTACATAAATTATGTTCAATAAAATAATTATGTTTATACATATACTTTTATATTAATATGGATGTATGTACTATATAAATAATATATGTTGCATATACAATCATGTGGTGGTATAGAGGTGTAGTAGGAAGAGTGTGGTGTATAAGGTTCATGGTGCGGAAGGTTGGCGGTTCGAGTCTCCGCAAGAACAGATCAAATTGTTCTACAACGAATTATCGTGCTTACCATGAAATTAAAGTGTCACTGAAAGGTTTTAGTCTTGATGGTGTAATGACACTTACAAGTGTCACTAACTCTTTTTTTAATGGCGCTTGATAGTGCCACAAATAATATCTATCATAACATTAAAATGTCATTGAAAGTTTTCAGCCATGATGGTGCAAGTGGCACTTGCAAGTATCTACCGTGGCACTAATAGAAGTGGCACTTGTTCAAAATGCCACAAGACCAAAAAATGTCATTGGAAGAATAGTTTTGTGGCACTTTCAAATGTCACTAAACTAAGAAAATGTTGTAGTGTCATTTAAGCTCTAAAATTATAGTTTTAATTGAGCTCTAGTGAGGTAGAAAATCAAAAACAAAAAAAAAAAAACCTCAAAACATCACATTAAAGTGAGAACCACCTTCCATTAGAGCTATTAGAACTCCTATATTACAGCTCTAAAGCATTTTTGCTCATTTAAATTGCTTCCGGGACATTACTGTATAAGAGTCAAAAAGAGATTATGTGCATTGGTATAAATGAATCTTTGATTCAATCACTAGAATACTCAGATCCGGCCATTTGCATTTGTGCATTTGTAAAATGGAAAAAATATTTGGTGCCCCATTGTACGAGTAGAATTTTAATTTTTATTATTTTAAACTTTTAGATAATTCAAACAGTTTTACTGTCTTTATAATTGATGCCTTAAGATAAAAAGTTTTTTTTAATGGACCATCGGACAAAAAAAATAAAAATAAAAAGTTTGTAGTATCTATGACAGGGGATATTTAGGGATATTTGATAATGATTTTTTTTTTTTTTTTTGAATTATGATGGACACTATTTTTTGTGAGCCTTGAACAAAAATAGATTGTTTTGTGCAATTTTTTATAAGCTGAAAAATAAAAATCAAAAGTACCTCTCCCTCAACATCTTGATAATCAACTTTATTTAATTTGTTTAAACTATTTCATTTTAATAAACTATAGACTAAAATTACACCGAACACTTTAATGTAGAATCCCAAAGGGTAATGATACATCCCACTAAAAGTGGTGTTCTAAAGCACCACTAATGA